CACCCTAGCTTTTAATGAGTGCCTCTCGTAATCCGGTGGATCTTTCAAAATCAGAAGACTCAGAAGTTTCCGCTGAGACTTTGCTTTTACCCTTGCTGGCCATGTTGATCGTCACTTTAATGTGTCGATTCTTAGGTGCTTGTTTCTTACGGTGAAAGTGTTTGTTGGAAATTTGCAGTAAAAAGACAATGAAAGAAAAATTGACTTGTATTCTCTCAAAATCGATTATAATTTAGATTCCGATTACAAAAGAGAAGAGAATGAATTTGATTCTCCCCTTTGTTTAAAACTGGGTTCTTCTTGGTAGCGGTGGAGTGCCTCCTTCGATTGCTTGTGTCGAACTTGCTCTCCGTTGACGATCCGACCGTACTATCTCACGAGAATGATTGACTTGTTTGATGAATTCGGTTTAGAACTCTTAACAAGTTTAAGAAACTCAGAACGAGTTGAAAACTCTGAAAAGAGTTGTTGAGAACCGAATAACTGGTTTGGTGTAATTAACTTGCATTGCAAGCTTAATTACGAACTCTTAAATGAGTTTCAGAACTCAGAGCGAGTTGAAACTCTGTAACAGAGTTGTTGGAACCGAAGATTCGATTAATAGCCAAGTTGATTTGCCGCTGATGAAGGGATCCCCTTTGATTTGATGTACTAACTACTAAGTAGTTTGTTGATCTTCAGAGAAATCTCCTCCTCCGTGCGGTTAAGCTGCCGAGATCTGTGAACCTTAAGTGGTTTTAATGCCAGCACACGTCAACCCCTTACTCAGTTGAGTAAGTCGGTTATTTATAGGGGGATTAGGGGCATAACTAACCCCTAAATCCTCTCCTAAGTGGGCGAAAATGCCTCAGGACGTGGGATAACGGTTTTGAGGCTATTCGGCTTGTGTTTGAACAAGTCAAACGCCTCATTTGGCGTTTTGGGCCTTAACTCTGCGTCTAAGGCCTGAGACGCAGAGTTAAACCTTTGTCAAAGGTTTGAAACACACAGGCCGCATGCGTTCTGTAATTGGAGACACACAGGTCGCTTGTGCGTTGAAATTCAACTCTGCGTCAAGAGTTTGGGACGCTTGGTTGAGTCTGTTGAAGAACGCACGTTATGTGTGCGTTTTGTGCTTTAACTTTGCGTTGCAGAGTTAGATGTCTGCTGGAGAACGCACAGGAGGTGTGCGTTTTGGATTTGAGAAACACAGAAGTGAATTATGCGTTTTTAAGAGAGGTTGTTGACTTGTAACCTCGTCCATTATAACATTGCAAAGGCTACTGCTTATTGATCTTTGCCTGTTATAGGATGTGAAAGTCGTCAGATTGTAACTCTTACTGTTGATTGTGAATGCCACTGAATAAAGTTTTCATCGGCTGTCGGAAGCGTCGTTGAATTGTAACTCTTCTCGATCTGTGTGAAAAGTCCTCTATTTGCAACCTTCGTTTGTCGGCACGAAAGCTATTTGACTGTAGCTTCCATTGTTGGAACTTGATGGGAATCAATCATCCATTGTGATTTTTAGATGAATATTTGCCCACAGCTCTCTACCAAGCAACTCACCAACTAAGTCTAAACTTTTATTTCTAAAATCATTACACTGTTCATCAACATCTCTAATAGTTGCTAATATAATATTAGTCATGTTGTTGTCGCAGCCATCAAGATCAATCATCTCAGAGATGAGGTCGTGTTTGTAGCGATTGTAGAGTCGCGGATGCAGTGATCAGAAAGTCGTCTGATTGTAACTTCCATTGTCGGGGCTTAATAGGGTTTAGCTATCCATTGTGATTTTTAGACAGCCTACAAAAAGCGTCTTCTTCTTGATGATGAGACCATCGGCGGTTCATTTAACCATTCGAAGACTGAAGGCTTATGAGTTAACTCCCCACATGGACATTGGGAAAGTACTGCAGAAATGAGTTTCTCACATCAGCAATAAGATTGCATTTGGCTCATGCTATGCTTGCGTGTGAGATAATCCCAAAGGTCACTAGCTGGACAACCCACAATCGACTCTGTCATCTTAGCTTTACCCAAGTGAGACCCTCTGAATGATAGAGATTGACGAACTTAGGTAGACTGACGAACTCCATCATTCATGTGATGACATTCGTTGGTAAAACGAGCTCGATGCTTGTGCCTTCTTAGTTGGCTCTTATCCTGAGGTTCGTTTTCTTTACGAACGTCGGTATGAACCGCTTGTTGAAACTGCTTTGTCGGATCCTACTCGGGTACGAGGGTGAGGTCCGTCATTCGGACGTTCCTCATTCACCTGACCCTCGTCAGACTTATTGACCTTAGGTTGATCAACCCTCAGACGATAGTGGAAACCGTCAAGCGAGACCAAAGTTCGAGCCCTGCGATGAGCTTGGTTCTGGCGTTGATGTTATCGAGCACGTCTCGACAGCGAACTAGTAGGAACCTTTGCTTCAGCCAGAGCAGGGCGAGGTTCGTTATCAAAAGCCATAGTTTGGCTGGTAGAAGCCGAAGTTCGGCTAGGTTGCTTGACAACCCATTTCTTAGCCTGACAGCTAGTTATTGGAGCCCCCTCTTTGAGGGGCTTAGACTTTTTCTCAAGACTAACTCGAGTTGAATCATCAGAAGCCACTTGGACTGAAGTCTTATACGAGACTCGACGACACTTACGTGCTTTCGTGGGGCTAGACTTACCAGAGGAGATGAACTCCTCGTATTTGGACTGGTCAAATTCGATGACCAAGGTCTCATCGTTCGTTCCCACATCAATCTTGTCTGATTGCGCCACCACCATCTCGTCAGAAAGAATAGCTGCTCCCACTGTGGTCGCTATCATCTGTAGGGTTGAAAAATTTAAGGATTGATTGATTCTCTTATTTTAAAAAAATTAGGTATGATCACTTGGTACAAAACCGTTACAATCACTCACAATCTCTCAATTACAGAGGAAGAGAAGATTAATTCAACTTCTCTTTTGTTTAATGTGGGTTCTTGGTGGCGAAAGGATACTTCCCCCGATGCTTGAGTCGAGCTTGCCTCCCGTTGACGATCAGACCAAGATCACTAAAGCTTCTCACGTTCGTTGGCCGGTTAGAATCGAGGTTCGAACTCCGGATCCGTACGAAGAAACTTTGATCTCTAATGCTTTTTGAAGTCCAAGTTTGAAATCTCCAATTAATCAACAACCAACCCTTTTCTCTATAGCCATCGATGGCTATTTATAGGGTTTTAAGCACATAACTGACGTTCTATAATCGTGGGTAGAGAGGCGTAACTACATCCTTCGAATCAGCACACGCCATAACGTGCTCCTGAAGATTAGCCCGTGTGGCTAACTAAGTCTTCGGAGCCGTTACAGATAAATCCCACGTGGATGACGAACCTCGTCTTTAATTAAAACGAAGTTCGTCAAGTAAGACGAGCCTCGAGGTTCGTCTTATCAAGCAAACCTCTCTTCCGACGAATTTTGTCTTCACTGACTTCGTCTGATGAACCTCGTTTTCACTAACAAACTTCATCTTTGACAGCTGAGTCCAACTACGTAGCAAGTCTTGTAAGTTTCCTTTTCACGAGCCTCATCTTTACTAATGAGTTTTACGTCTAGTAATGAGCTTCGAACCTCGTATCCAATGATGAGCTTCGAACCTCGTATCCACTAGTGAACCTCGAACCTCGTATCCAATGACGAGCTCCGAGTCTCGTAGATCAGTTTCATTCAATAATGAACTCTATCTTTTGATGTTGAGCTCTGCTGCATGGCGACTCTCGTTCTCGAGGTTGATCTTTACTAAACAACGAACCTTGTCTCTGATTGAGAAGGGGTTCGTTCTCCTAACCATCCTTTTCACATTTTGAATTTTGGCATTTTTGAATGCCTACAGAGATGAATGTGTGCAAATTATGAAGAGGGCTGCTTATGCATACACTTTTCGTTCCTATAATAATGAATGCAATGAGCTACTGAACAAATCAGAGACCACCTATAACGAAATGTTGAGGATGAGTTCAGAAAATTAGGCTAATTGCTATTTTCCTGGAAGATGTTAAAATTTAAATTTATGCAAAATCTTAAATGCAAAGCAATTAGATATATGTACATCTGTACTTACTATTTATTGATATGCATGTAGATATGGATGGTTGACATCAAACCTAGCGGAGTCATTCAATTCTTGGATCAAAGAAGCTCGTTATTTGCCAATTACCCAAACAATTGATAATATTCGTAAGAAAATGATGAGGATGAGTTTTGAAAGGCGGGAGGTATCCTACAAGTAGACCACAACATTTGTTCCTACTATGGAAGAGCACCTTATTCATATCAATGAGTAATCACGTTGTCTTTCTGTAACTCCTTCTACTATAGGAAGGTACGAGGTGTATGATTTCCCCACTATTGAAGTAGATTTGAATGACCGTACATGCACTTGTCATGAATGACAAGTTGTCGAGCTACCTTACAAACATGCGGCGACGATAATTCTACAAAATAAAGACTTTCAGATTATCTACTTCCACAGCACTTACAAACTCGAAACATGTATTTATACACCACAAAAAATTTACATATCACAGTTGGCATCTAACATCTGGGGAACTTAGCTTGAGGATCACGTTTATATCACGAAATTAAAAGATACGTAGATCAAAAGAATAGTAGACTGAATATATAAGTTAGCAGCATTTCTAAGAAACTGCATACAACTAAACATTACACTTATAGAAAATATACTTTTAGATAAAAATAGAGCAACGATACGAGCTCTATGTCTTGCACAATCCTTTTGGTCAATTGAAATTGGTTGACCGGAAACGAGGCTGAACATGTATGACATCAAGAACACCCTGCAATCCAAGCTACTACAAGTTTAAATATTTACAATATCAATATAACACTTTTGGCCCACAATATATAGTTTCTATGTGTTAGCACATACGAAAAACAACAACATATGAATAAGTCGAATATACTAACCACGTTGTTGAGGTACATCAACACTTATTATCTCAAGACAAGATATAATATCCAAATTCCAAGCATCAGGAATGGTAGAAATAAGCTTCACTCTAAAATCAATAGCATCAGACTTGTACCCGCGGTGAGAAGAGTAATGATAAAACCTTCTATCCTTTACATATAATACCAACATATGCCAATAAAATGAAGTTAGAAATGGAGAAATAATCTTATCAAGTTCAATGAAACGTGTAGTCATTATTGGCTTAAACATGCGTTCTACACTCGACGGATTATTTTCGTTGATGCACCTCTATAAAAAAACAAAGAAAGTTAAGATTTAGTATTTAATATAATATAAGAATAATACTTATAATCTCGGATTGGATTTTTACTTACAGTTACCTATGGACTACATATGTGTATGTCCTTTGCATATTTTGGACACATCTCCATCAACATATTTAGAAGCACAACATAGGAGGCTATAACATGAAATGTACATAATAAAATTATAAACATTAGTGTTATATACTGCACGTGCATTGTGTAAAGCATGAAAAGAACGGGTACTTACGTCGCAACTAATTGCCTCTCCTTTAAGTAATTCCAATGCATCATTACGTGTTAACAAAGCATCACTAGATGACCACACTAATGTCTCACTACATATGAAAAAACATAGTACATGTATTAATGAAAACATATAAAAGTTAAAAAATAGATTATTGAAAATACACTTACGTGGCAATATTTTTGTCTTTCCAAAAGCTATCGAGTAGTTCTCTCTCGTCATCCCTTACTTCCTTCCTTCCCGGATAATTTGATACTCCTTTTCGATTAACAAGTAGGACGAAGGGCGAATGCATAGATGGTTTAGCAAGCTGAGATCTCGATAGAACTGTTCTTTTGATAGAAGGGGTTTTACGCATGCCTTCAATCAACACAATATCGCGCGGGCTAAGAACAAAGGCGTCATCATCCAATTCTGTTGAATCCATGCCCACTTCATCATTAGCAATATCTCTACCATCATCTTTATCTACATTCAATGTATCAACATCTTCATCACCCCCATCCTCTACATCTCCACCAACCTCCGCATCTCCACCAACCTCCGCATCAATATCTCCACCATCCCCCTCCTCATCCTCCTCATTCCCCTCATCATCCCCCGCCTCATCCTCCTCATTCCCCTCATCCTCATCACCGCCATCACTATCATCCCCATCATTCCCGTCATCTGCATCTCCTCCATCACTATCAACATCCTCTTGCTTTTTACAAATATATCCCTCTTCATCTACAATATAAGGTCTAATACCACTTTTCATGTATGAACTGATCCAAATTAGCTTCAGCGATTACCTACACGTAAAAAACGCAAGTAAAGTTCAATTTAGGGATGAACATTAAATAAGAATCATTTTGTAAAATCATGGAGCTATTAACTAACACGTAATAAAAATATATATACCTTTCTCTAGAATTTTGTAGGGGCAGATTCAGTGGCAGTGGATGTAGTGGTAGTGGAAGCTTCAGTAATCATGTTTTCAAATTTTAGGGCCCTCGAGTCGTTATTATGCTTCCTAAAATTATCCGGGTCTCTTACTAAATCCTGCATTACATTCCTTTGTAAAAGATCTCGGACACTTGTAGAAGCTTAGAATGGGTGGTAAGGATTCAGCTCCTACGCGAAGGCTTAACTTTCCCACAAGCTCATAAAATCAAATCTGTGAAAAAGATAAAAATTTTAGTTCAACAATACACATGACTAAATGACATAAATATATACAATGGAGAATGATATAAATATATATAATGTTAACTTACCACCAAAACCGAGGCAAAACTCCCCATATAACCACCTCTAGATCGATTTCCCTCAAACCTCTTAGTGATGGTTTTTTTGGCCTTATTCATCTCAGTACACAACACATTATATACTAATTCAGCCCAATTAAACTCCTTAAGAGTGTCCAATTTCTCAGCATATCTAAATTCAAATAAGGGACAACTCATACTAAATTGAGGGCATAATATAAAGCCTATAATGAAAGCCACGAGCATCTGTAGTAAAAGATGATCTCTATGCTCGGCTATCTCCTTAATAAGTCTACTCATCCTATCCCCTCTAGCACACACAATCTTCTTCTTACCCTTATCACTTTTCTTCTTTCCTCTTCTAGTACTACGCTTCATATCCTCTTCAATTTCAGCCTTAGTCCTATATGAAAGCATAAGCTTGTAGAATGTATCGCGATCACGTCTATGAAACCTCGTATCTACTATAGATTCTCCCATCGGAAGGCCTGTAATTCTCCCAACATCTTCAACACCAAAGGAGATCCATTTTTTTCCAATTTTGAAACTACTTTTTTCAACATCAAATACTTCCAACAAACAATCCACTAGAAGTGGTTGCATTGAAACATCTGGAACATCTAAATAGCCATAGAATGGAGTATCTCGAAGGGCTGTCTGTTGATCCTCCAACAATGTAGCAGAAATACGATTTTAAAGAAGGTCCCGGAAGTAGCCAACGTTGGATGGAATTCTCACTAAATTTATATGTACGATTTTCTGCAACCAAAGTAAAACATAAGCCAACTTTAGTTGTCTATCAATATTATACATTTTTTTCTTTATTAAAACAAACCGCAAAGGCTGAAAACAAACTGGCTTTGTTGCTGCCTGCAAACGATTAGAACGGTATACAAGTGTATTTGCATGCAAACACAAAAAATAGTCAGACTTAAATTAATAACAATAAAAAAGAACTTCCATATTACTTGGATAACACCAATCAAAAAGAACTTCCTTCTTCACCTTAAACAATGTAACTTACTAAGAAGACAAGGCACAACCTCAAACCCGACCACCATATAACCCGGAGGCAAATCAAACTCAGATTTTGATTTTTCCATATTGGGTATCACCTTTGCGGCATCCCCAGTCCCCATAACCCTAGACACATTGGTCTCCTCATATTTAAGAATCAAAATGGTAAACTTCAAATGGTTAAACAAGTAATAAGCATCATCAACTGGATAACCGGTCCATCGAAGGAAGTAATCATCCTTCTTGGTGTATCGAATCGCGGGTAAGTCACTACATCAGCTAATCATATACAAGAGATCTTGGTATAAAATACCCAAGTCAAAAAATAAAATGAAAAATCCCCATTTACTCACCAGCACGAGAGTTGAGACGGTCGACGGACGATAGCGAGGTCGACAACAACGACGAATGTGACGGCGGCGGGTAACGGGCGACAGCGACGGAGTTGAAAAACAAGACAAAAATCCAAGTTCCCAACAAGAGAGTTGAGACGGGCGACGACGACGTCGACTGCGTCGGTCACGAGAAGGGGGAATTTCATTTTTTTAAATTAGAGCTAGGTTGAAAAGGGGAAAATGAGGGGAGAGAGAGAGAGATAGGACAAATTTTCAAAACCAACCCATTTGATAAACTATTCCCAAAAAAAGACCCATTTCAGTTTTATTTGTAAAAACCGACCTGGTTTCAGCCTCAGCGCTGAAACCAGGTCGGTTTTTGAAAAAAAAGTTTCCGAAACTTCACGGGAGTTCAACTCCCGTGAAGTTTTGTTATGAGAAAAAACTTCACGGGAGTTGAACTCCCGTGAAGTTTCGTAAAGTTTTTTAGAAAAACCGACCTGGTTTCAGCGACAGTGCTGAAACCAGGTCGGTTTCTCTAAATAAATCTGAAACGGGTCGTTTTTTACAATTAGTTTATCAAATGGGTTGGTTTTGAAAATTTGTCCGAGAGAGATACTAGTTTATATGTGGCTAATGAAAGGGGTATTTTGGGGTTTTAACCATGCTTCTGTATAAATACAAGTGCTTTACTTATTGTATTTTAGAAATTGGATTTATAGATAAAGTTATGGACCTAGAAATAAAAACCCCAAACTTTATCTTCTAGAGGCTACGTAATCCCTTCCCCGCAGGGTTCTTTTTCTCTGAAAGATATTTTAGTTACTTCCCCAATTAAATGTGGGGGTTCGGTGAGAACGTTAAAAGTTTGGGGTGTCTTAGGAGAAACCCCAAAGTTCAGGGGAGTTTCTGAAATCAACTGAACGGGAGGAGAAGATGCAGCATGAGCTTGCTGGAGATGTGTTCTTCACATAAAAGCCCCTCTTACTTTGTAATATTACAATTCGTTTCCGACGCTTTTGATCCACAATTGTAGTCGCCACAGAAATCGGAAGATGGCGTTTGTTCTTCTACAGCCTTCGTACGTTCCCTTACAAAGGACTGTACCCAAAAAAGCCCATAAAAGGCCAATTAATGTTATAAATTGCAGTTTCAAGAACTTGGCTGTCGATTTTGGGTCCAAATCTCTCAAGTTTGCGCTCTCGGGCGCACTGGCTCTCGGAATTGCTCTCTCTGGTAACTTCTCCTGCAATGTTATTGATTATTATTATTATTATTGGTATAATCTGAGTAATATTATTTCATTGGTATTGATTTTCTTAGCGTTTGTATTCAAAAAATGTACTGCGGGTACAAATTTGTTTTCAAATTGGATTACTTGGAAAAATCAAATGTACATTACTTAGTCACATACTTAGAAGCTGATTACTTTGACAGTCAAAAGTGTCTGCTATGTGTTCGATCATTTGCCATTCTCAATAATTTTTAATTTAATTTCATCGTAGTTTAGTTCATTACCACAGCTTTTTTAAGTAATAATACATTTAGTATGTAGTTGATAAATCATGTTACGCTGATGTAATGCTGTTGCTTTTGGTTAAAGGAAAAAAAAAAAAACTGGTTGCCGATAGCGAATGACGTTACCAACTATACATATGGGAATGTGAATAAGTTAACACTTTATATATTAACAATTCCAGAAACATAGATAGAAGATGATGGCACTAGAATAGTTATAGTCCTGACATGGAGCAACAAGAGGAGAAAGGGTGAGTTCAAACTGCATTAGAGTATAGGAAATAGCTTGAGTTTCAACTAACACCGTTGGGGGGATGAGATGATCCAGAGTTTCAACTAGCTCTATTCTCCATGTTTCATTCAAGATATGACAGTCTTGATTTCTACCATCGGTTTACATTTCCAGCACAAGCAGATGCAAGGATATGTGTAACTGTCCAAGAAAATGTGATTTATAACTTTCTGAGGGGAAGATGTATCCTAATCCATTACCATAAAACTTCGTCAAATCTCCACAAGATGGTTAAATGGGAGGATTGTGATATAAGGACATCAACTGCCTAGATGTATTGAAGCTTTGATCTCGTTGATGAGACGTTGTAGTCTATCAAGGCATCTTTATGCTAAACATTTGGGTAACGCATGGCAATTAGCTTTCATACCATTTAACACACGGCCATTTCGCTATTGAAGTATAGCAGGTGCTATTTCCTATCACCATAGGCTTACACCATGGATCAACACTAAAACCGTGACTTTTCGTAAATAGTTACTTGTGAACTTACTTGACATTTTTGACATGAAGGCTCGTGGTTGTTTATTGTTTCCTGATGATATTATATTAGTTTTAAGATAGGAAGGATAATTTTCAAAATGTAACTGTTGTAAGATGGCCTAAATAATCTCTGTTCAAAGTTTCCTAATGACAGCCATGATCTGCTGTGAAGTATATTCCCCACAGTAAGCACATGGTTAATTTTTTGTTTCATTTATTGTTGGTTTTTATATGGAAACCACCTTTAAAATAGGGGCGTAATACGGAAACCACATTTATTTTTTAGTTTATACAAGAACAACATTTAAAGTATATTTCGTTTCAATCAACCACCAAAACTCATTTCATGTTGACTTTTTTTATCAAAATTCCTATAATACCCCTCTTTTCACACAGACTCTCCCCTCTCTCTCCTCTCTTTTCTCTCTCCCCCCTCTCTCTCTAGGGCCCATAGATCTCGGCGGGTGGCGCAAGCGGGGTGCTGTAGTTGCCCATGACGGATCCCGGCAGGTTCACGACGAGATTGGAGGTGGCACCACACACACACACACACACACACACAGAGAGAGAGAGAGAGAGAGAGAGAGAGAGAGAGAGAGAGAGAGAGAGATGTTCGATCTACATCATAAAACTTGAGATCTAAAACCATATAGCCATGATTAATTCAAAGAGATTAACAATAATCAAAAGAGCGGAAGCTTATACCTGAATCCATGGATGAACCTTGAGATGGGTTTTGGATCTTCTAACCTTAGGGTTCCTCTAAATCCGAATTTCTCTCTTAGATGGGGGTGAAGAGAATTAGAGAATGTAACCCTAGGTTAGGGACCATAACCCCTTATTTATAGATGTTGTACTTTTGCAATTTAGCCCCTCAATAAATTACAATTACAACCTGGTATCTGCACATATAACCCCATGACTTATTTAAATACCAAATTAACCCAACTTAATTGATCACTTTAGTGGGTTATCCTGAAAGATAGCAATACACATTGATTAATCATATGTGCCCACAAATAGATTTATTAGATTAAATCCAACAATCTCCCACTTGGGCACCATATGATTCCTTAAACTGTGTATAACCTTATGAGCTCAAAAATTGCTATCACTGAAATGGTATTTCCGAACAATCTCGTCCATTGACTATATCAATATAGGATCAAAGCGGCCTTCGTCACATTTATCGTGACTCGACCCATCAATGGTCACATATACCAATACAATCAAACGACATAGATCAATCATGGATGTGCAGCATGAAAATTACATGCAATGTGATCAGTACATGTCTATTTTCAACTGGTCCTCCTTAGTGAGGTCAAAACCAAACATAATGTAACAGAGTGTCTTAACTGAAAACTTTATTCTGATCAGACAATACAAACAAACATAAAGCACCACAAATACAAACTCCCACTAAAACATAATATCCTCAAATAATACCACACCCATATGAGCAGTATGCTCATGAAAGACCTTAGGTGGTAATCCCTTAGTAAGAGGATCAGCTATCATGGAGTTTGTCCCAATGTGCTCTATGGATATCTGTCCACTCTGTACCCTTTCTTTCACAACCAGGAACTTAATGTCAATATGTTTTGACTTAGTTGAGCTCCTGTTGTTATTGGAATACATTACTGCAGATTTATTGTCACAATATAACCTTAGTGGTCTTTCAACATTTTCCAAAATGCGCAGTCCCGTGACAAAATTTCGCAGCCATATTCCCTGATTGGATGCCTCATAGCAAGCTACAAATTCTGCTGCCATAGTGGAGGAAGCTACTAGTGTTTGTTTGACACTTTTCCATGATATAGCTCCTCCTGCTAACATATAAATGTAGCCTGATGTAGACTTCCTGCTATCTTGGCATCCAGCAAAATCAGAGTCCGAATACCCAATGACCTCTAATTTCTCTGATTTTCTGTATGTGAGCATGTAATCTTTTGTTTTCTGAAGATACCTCATAACCCTTTTGACTGCTATCCAATGATCCATACCAGGGTTGCTTAAGTATCTGCCTAACATCCCAACAATGTACGCAATATCCGGACGCGTACATACCTGAGCATACATTAGACTTCCTACAGCCGAAGCATAAGGAATCTTCTGCATTTCCTGAATTTCAAGGTTACCTTTAGGGCACTGATTGAGACTAAACTTGTCTCCTTTAGCAACAGGGGTGTCACCTGGTCTGCAATCTTGCATGCCAAACCTTTTAAGTACCTTATCGATATAGCTCTTTTGTGATAATCCAAGAATACCCCGAGAGCGATCTCGATGTATCTGGATCCCTAATATAAAAGAGGCGTCCCCAAGATCTTTCATCTCAAAATTCTTTGATAGAAATCTCTTGGTTTCGTGCAACATGCCTATATCATTAGTGGCAAGCAAGATGTCATCCACATACAGAACCAGAAAAATATACTTACTCCCACTGAACTTGTGATATACACAGTCATCAACAATGTTCATCTCAAAACCGAACGAGATAACTATTTGTTGAAACTTATGATACCATTGACGAGGAGCTTGCTTGAGTCCATAGATGGATTTCCTTAATTTGCAAACCATATTCTTTGGGTCTCCTGACACAAAGTTTTCTGGTTGCACCATATAAATCATCTCATCAATGTCTCCATTGAGAAATGCAGTCTTAACATCCATCTGATGTAACTCGCATGCTAGCCCGACTCAAACGGTAGTCGGTAAAGGCTAATCAAATCCGTTGAAGGCTGGGGGTTAGCCAAAAACCCCAAAGTCAACGCCTAACACGCGTCGCCGGGTAGTCTATTCCCGTAAGAAAGACGAAGTCTACGTATTCAATATCGTAGCACTAAAAGGGTTAACTCTTTTAGCTAAAACGTCACATGGGAGCGGACTTAAACAATCCGTATACTAGCCCGACTCAAACGGTAGTCGGTAAAGGCTAATCAAATCCGTTGAAGGCTGGGGGTTAGCCAAAAACCCCAAAGTCAACGCCTAACACGCGTCGCCGGGTAGTCTATTCCCCTAAGAAAGACGAAGTCTACGTATTCAATATCGTAGCACTAAGAGCGTTAACTCTCTTAGCACAACGTCACATGCAGAACGGATTAAAACAATCCGCATGTAAGCCGATTCAAACGGTAGTCGGTAAGAGCACGTCAAATCCGTTGCTTCATTAGTTGGTCTCGTGACTTGAGCATCCAACGACATTCGAAACCCTAGGGTCAACGCCGGACAACGCGTAACCCTAGGTCGACGCCAGTCAACGCGTTGCAATCAAACAGTCAACGTACGATGTTCAAAACCCTAAGGTTAACGCCGGACAACGCGTAACCCTAGGTCAACGTCAGTCAACGCATTGCGACCAAACAGTCAACGTACGACATTCGAAACCCTAGGGTCAACGCCAGTCAACGCGTAACCCTAGGTCAACGCCGATCAATGCGTTGCAATGAAAGAATCAATACTCCGAAAAGTATACGAGTATAAACTGCTCCTTAGTACTCCAATAATGTATATGAGTATAAACTGTTCCCTAATTTTGGTTGAGAAGTTTCTGGAGAATATTTTTCTAAAAATATTCTTAAGGATAACTCAACAACACAACGCCGAACAACACGTTGTAAATGATGATCCAACACCGACGACCGATGGTCAATTCTATGTTGAAACAACCAACTCGAGCTAAAAAGTTAGAAAAGCGAGAATCGACTTCAAATTCAAAATTCCGACAGACGGTCAGACAATAAATGCAGCACCGGAACCCTTACAGACATTCGACAAAGCACCGAATAGCCTAGAAGATTGAAGGAATCAAGAACGGAAGTCATTCCAAAGTCCCATTACGCCGACTGAAGGTTGGGACAATCATATCCAAAGTATTCCAGACTCTTATATAAAAGAACGAGACTGAAATACTTTGGAGGGGCTATCTGTAGGCATATAAAATTGCTTATAGGTCCCTTAGCACAGCTCGGCACAAACCGACGAACCAACGAGGCCGAGCCACCCTAAGGTGGCTCGGTGGCTGAGCCACCTTGAGGTGGCCGGCCCAGAGCCGAGCCACCTCAAGGTGGCCGGCTGCACTGTGCCCAAGGCACAGTGAGGGTAGCCTATAAATAGGCCCCCTTTTGTTCATTTTCAAAGGTTGGACTTTTGAGAGCCGAAACTCTGCCGGATTGAAGATCGAGCTTAGAGTTTTGAAGACTTGAAGACTTGGACATCCAGATCTGATCCTCGGCGAGCATCCACGTCACAAAAGGCAGGAGTTCGAGAGAGGGGAAGAACAGATCTGAGATCTACACGAGATCACACTCCGGATCTAAGCTTGGTCTTAGATCCCGAGATCCGAGCGATTATTTCCTTAGTGAACTAATCCCTCCCGGCTATTATTCCCTTCGTGGAATAATACCCGTCAAATCGTGTAGATCCGACCGGATCTAGATCGCGCGGTGGTCCACGGATTAACCCCGGCGTTGGCAAAGAACCCACAAAAGCGAGTGACCGCAAAACAGGAGCTCGCGATTTGTTCACAAGGAGAAAGTTGTAATTTTTTTATTTTCTTTGATTTTCATTGTAACCGGATCTTAAAAAAAGACCGGATCTTTTGTAACCACAAAAAGTTGTTATTTTGAGATTACGATGACATCAATGAAGAAAACGATTTTCCCCGCGAACACTAACAACTCGTCCAACTGGGTCTGAAGCTCCCTCATCTCAGCTGGTGCCATGCGATAGGGTGCACGGGATATCGGGGCTGTGCCTGGCTGCAACTCAATATGGAACTCAACCTCTCTCACAGGAGGTAATCCAGGTATGTCCTGAAAGACATCCTGATACTCTGAGACAACTCTAGTCTCCAATAAATCAACACCCTGATCCCGTCGCATCACATCCTCGATGTACGCTAGAAATGACTCCGCAAAACGGTTACCCTGAGAGGTTGCCACAATCATCTCGGACCCATCGGATGCCTGCAAATTGACTGTCTTTACAAAGCAGTCAATACTAACATGGTAGGAAGACAACCAATCCATACTAAGGATGATATCAAACTCGGACATATGCAACACTATCAAATCAACCACGAATTCCGACTCATCTAGACTGATAGTACACCCCTACAAACGCTCTCCAGAAGCGATATCTTACCTAAAGGGGTGGAAACTGATAAATGGGTGTCTAATGGCTGAGCTACGAGTTGGAGTCTAGACATAAAATCATACGAAATTAAGGAATATGAAGCTCCCGAATCGAAGAGAATACGGGCGGGAAAAGAATTCACAGGAAACGTACCCTCCACTACTGCTCCGCTAGCTCCATGATTACGCGGTACTACCACATATACTCTGCCTGTGACTAGAGACTGCTCTGCTGCTAGTGTTGGAGAATACGGAACTATCTACCCCTGAGGAACCTCCTGAACTGCTCGAATCTGCCCTCAGTCCTCCGTGCTACTGGCGGTGCCTCAAGTCTCGCCTGCTGGCCCTGAACCCTACCATGTTGTCATTGCTGCTGCTGGTTTGGGCCCTTGCCCTGCTGAGCTCCTGTTGGTACGCTACGACACTCCGATGCCTTATGCCCGACCTTGCGGTAGTTATAGCAAACTGATTGGAACTTGCGCTGCTGATGCGCTCTCTGATCATGCTGAGGTCCCTTCTTATGAGGACCTTGCTGCTGCTGCTGGGATCCAGAGAAAGGTCTCTTGTTCTTCCCTTTATCCCCGATCTGTCCTGCCTTGGTCTTCCCTTCCCTATCTTTCTGAAACATGGCAGTCTCAATCTCCTAAGAAGTGGTGGCCTCAGCTACCTCCTGAACTGAATAGAACTTCCTCGAGACGAGGTATCGATGGAGATTAGGGCGGAGCCCTGCTAGGAACATTTGAGCCTGTCACTCTCCTGTCTGCCACATGCCCGTGAAGTGCAGCAACTCCATAAATCTGCTCTTAAAATCTACCACTGACATATCCCCCTGAGTCAACCGAGTTAACTCAAGCTCCTTCCCAGTCCGTGCTGCAGAAGAAATATATTGTCCATCAAAGAAGTAGACGAAGTCCTCCCATGTGAGGGTCATCCGATGCTCTGGAGTGAACTGAAGTCGATACCATCTCCCGACGTCTCCTTTCAGACTGTAAGACGCCAATCTCTGCTTCTGGACCGAATCCATATTAAGTATATCAAGGATATTACTCACATCCTCCTTCCACTTATGGGTTGCAAGAGGATCTGCTGACCCCTAGAACTCTGATGCTCTCATCTTCTGGTACCTCTCAACCATACAGAGCTAAGCCTCCTGCTCTGTGGCTCTGTCTGGGACTGCTGGTGGGATAACTGCAGGTGCGGTCTCTGGTGGTCTCTCACTGATAGGAACTGCTGGTATCCCCTGTGGCTGATCTGCTGCTGGTGGTGGTGGTAGTGTCGATGGTGCGATATGACTCGCCACAAGCTCCTCAATTGCTGCCATCCTAGCTACGATGGGAGCCATGAGATCAAGATTAACAATAATCAAAAGAGCGGAAGCTTATACCTGAATCCATGGATGAACCTTGAGATGGGTTTTGGATCTTCTAACCTTAGGGTTCCTCTAAATCCGAATTTCTCTCTTAGATGGGGGTGAAGAGAATTAGAGAATGTAACCCTATGTTAGGGACCATAACCCCTTATTTATAGATGTTGTACTTTTGCAATTTAGCCCCTCAATAAATTACAATTACAACCTGGTATCTGCACATATAACCCCATGACTTATTTAAATACCAAATTAACCCAACTTAATTGATCACTTTAGTGGGTTATCCTGAAAGATAGCAATACACATTGATTAATCATATGTGCCCACAAATAGATTTATTAGATTAAATCCAACAAGAGAGAGAGAGAGAGAGAGAGAGGAGAACCGACATGATCTATTGTTGACCATGCAGCACCCCCACCCGCGCTACCGCATGCTCGCCGAGATTTGTGGGCCCCAGTTTGACGCCGAGATCTGTGGGCCTTAGAGAGATAAGATAGAGAAGAGATAGAGAGAGAGAGAATAGGGGTATTAAAGTAATTTTGATAAAAAAATCAACAAGAAATGGATTTTTTTTTGTGGTCGATTGAAACGAAATATACTTTAAATGTTGGTCCGGTATAAATTATAACAATAAAGGTGGTTCATGTATTACACTTCTATTTTAAAGGTGGTTTCCATATAAAACCCTTTTATAGTTGTCACACGCATTATCATAATATAAGGTATGGTTGGCATGCTTGTTTGAGTTTAGAGTGTTCCTCAGAGTTCTTTTAATGTAAATGTGTAGGACTTGAAGCAGTTGATGCTAAAGTTGGGGTTAATAAGCCAGAATTGCTTCCTAAAGAATTTAGTCCCGTAATTGATGTAGCTGGGTTTCTTTCTGCAGGCCAGGTGTGAATAGTTCTCTTAGTTTTACTTCTACATATTTTTGTACTTACATGACGATGTTAACGTACTTCATCAGAGCATTTTTTAGATTCGCTCCTGGGGCTAAATGCACTTTAGACCCCTGTAGTGTCATGGATTGAACTTACTACCCCTATACTTTCATTGTTGCAGATAGACCCTTTGGGTTTTTTTGACTCTTTTATCCTATGATAGACTCACTAATTTCACCTAGGGACAATATCTACCAAAATTTCACCAAGGTAAAGAGTCAAAAAAATAACCCGGGTTATCTGCAACAATAAAATTACAGGGGTAGTAAGTGCAAAGTGCAAACCATTGATACGATTATTATTATTATCATTATGATTTTTTACTTTTCTTTTTATTTATTTTTTTATTTATTTATGTTATTTTTATTTTTATTTAAGTAACCAGGGCAAAGTGCCCATTAACCTTATTTCGCCTAAAGAACAGTAAAAGATGTAGTTATCTATTCTAGAATAAAATTGAAAAACTGAGAGAAGCAAAATAGTAGGGTTGGATATTAATTTCAACGATTAGCAACGTATGGTGTTATCAGTGGCTCTCTATCTTGTGCCATCCAGAGGCGCATACAATTCTTTGAGAAGCATGCATGTTGAGTTATTGAATTTAATGTTCTTTTTCTTTAATGGTTTTCACTCTGATCGCCAAGTTTCCCAATTCCTAGAGATATTCTCGATTCATCAAATAGTATCCTTAAAAAGTTGTCGTTGGTTCCTGAAGATACAGATTTAAACTTCATAACATCTGTCTAAATTTTTAACGCTACCTTTGAATGTTTATTTATAATTTTAGTTTACTGTGAAGCATTCTAGAGATTATTTCTTAATGCGTCAGATAGTGTCCTTCAAAAGTCTAGCATCTTTAGTTGTTTGGAAGATTCAGGTCTGAAATTCAACTATCTCAATATCTAACTCTCATTTGATGGATATTTTTCTATAACCAACTCATTCTTCAGTATTAGAGAATTATCATTAGGATACTCTCACATAACTTGTTCTGTAATGCATGGAGCAAGAATGAGCTCAAAAGGACAAAGGTCATACTGTGAAGCAAATAAAAAGATTAAATGTTTAAGGAATTACTCTTGTAGTTGTAAGTTTTTTTCATGTCCTTTTTTTCCTCCCTTTTTTGCTTTCTATATTACTACTATATGGCATTGTGGCTTTCCATTAATACTATTTCCTTCAGCACAATAAACAACAATGTATATCCTCCTCGTTGATTTCCCCTTATATAACATCCAATTGCTGACATATTGTTGATTCTTATAGGAAAACCGACTTCGTCAAGAAATTGATGATCTTGAAAAGGATACTGGATTTAAATTGAGATTACTTGCACAGAATTATCCCGATACACCCGGTATGACTAAAAGCCTGATATTTTCATGTACTGTCATTTTTTTATCAGGATACTTTAGGGTGTTCTTTCCTCCATGTCCTCAACCTGGCATTTAATTGAAATCTGAGAAAATTTGTTTACCTGCTTTCTCTACCAGTGTTTTGTCATGTGTTTTTTCAAGTATTCCTAATTTATCATTTCTATCTCTATTTTTTACCAACTTTTTTCATTTCTTGCAGGGTTAGCTATCAAAGACTTCTGGCAAGTGGATGACCGAACTATTGTTTTCGTTGCAGATCCAACCTTTGGTAAGAACATAAGGCAAAATGTTCACTCTACTATTATTCCTAATTAATATAATAATTTGGTTGGACTAGGCAATACCTTGACCTAGTAAGTAATGTTCTGAAAAAGTTGCACATTAATTGTTCAGAACTCATTTATACCCAAGAAAATCAATTACTCGTTGCATTGTGAGAGTGGTTCTTATTAATTACCTGATACAAATTTTATGATCTGCTATTAGAACGGAAAGTTTGAATTTATAAGCACAGTACCTATGTTGCTAAAATGACAGTACTTTTAACACATATTTGATTATATTTCTGCTGTGCATAATCTTCTTAATGTTCTACATCTAGTTTTTCTAGATATCTCTTCATGAATTTGGGTTTTACTTTTTTGGCAGGTAATATCTTAAATTTCAATGTTGGTGAATTGGTGGATTTAGACATTCCTCGAAGTTTTTGGAGTCGTCTAGCTGGAAAATACGGGAATATGTTTTACTGGAAAGAAAAGGTGCATTTCTACAAGGTTCCTCTTTTTTCAAATTTTAATATATTGCAATAAGTTACAATTGTATTTGTGGCCGGTAATTACTTCACAGAGAACATAGGCTAACTCATAACTGGCTCGTGTAAAAAAAAAAAAAATCTTATCCCACCTCTTTGTGGATTGATCACCTTCGTAATCCCTAGTCGATCTTAGTTACCAAATATCGTCATTAGAATAAATTTACTTTGGACCTTTTGACTTTGTAATGGTTGGAGATGCTCAAATTATTGTGAAGAGTAACTTGATTCTAGCTTTAATGAGTCTTATGGGAGCTTTTGTTTCTCTATTAGATTTCGGTAATATTGTACAATGGTGCATTAAAAAAGCTCCATCTTTTATCATGTATGATACTGATATATAAATATATCCTTGGTTGTCACAGGGAGAAGATGTATCCATTGAAGCTGCTGTAATGGCAATATCAAATTGTTTGAGAGAACCTGTGGGTCCAAATAACTGCTCCGAGGTCAAGTAAACCATCATCATTTTATACTTTGTATATGATGTGACTATAATGTTTGTGATACTAAAGCAACCTTGAACATCTGTTATAATTGCTATATATCGTGATCACGCTTGAAAAATCAAAAAGATTATCAACTTTTTTATAGTATTTATCTCCTATTTTTGCTGTGCTTGGCTCTTTAGCTAACATGTTATCCATACAAGTAGTGTTTGTGTTGAAAACTTCTGTAGGAAGGAATTTGTCAGAATTGGAATTGGGAAATGCAACATAGTTAAAGTTCTCCATATAGAGTGATTATAACTGTACATAAGTAATAATACTACTATTGTACTATTACACACAAAAAAAGTGATTTTTTTTTTAAAAAAAATTGCAAAGAGAAATTATGAGTTCTTATTAGGGTGCAAACGGTCTACATACGGCTGGGACGGCTGAGATGTAATACTTACCATATCAATATCAGCTTGCCAATCACGAATACGATATGGATACATATATGTCTTGGTAAGGAAAACTCATATTCATATCCGCTAAAATCAGATATTTATACTGATATACATGTGGCTATATATGCGGGTATACATGAGGATACAAAACGGGTATGAGAAAATGTAATAATTATATATATATGGATATGAATATGAGTTCTATGGACCCCACTTTTTTGTGTTTAGTAGTACGAGAGTAATACAACAAGTTAGCATTTTCCAAGATAAACTAGACGGATAAAAATATTATAAAAATCCTCTATTATACTGTACAGTAATTATGGAGAAGAAGCAAGATTCCACTAATTTATGATTTTATCTAATATTTTTCTTCTTCCTAGAATCCGATTATGTTTTCCTTAAGGGCATTTTTCATATTTTGAATTCATCCTTCAAATCCTTGAAATTGCTTCCAGACCCTTTAATTTTTAAGTTATTTTGAAATTAGTCTCTCAAATCAATAGTGGAATTAGCAATTAGAGGGGCTAATTAGAAACAACTTATGAGAATTAGGGTATCTAATAGAAATTTTGGTGATTTGAGAGACTGGTTTCCCTCTAATTTGCTAATTCTACTCTTAATTGGGGGGCCTAATTTAAAAATAATAAGTTAATAATCGGGGGACCTAATAACAATCTCAATGATTTGAGGGACTAAGCAAGATATGAAGGGATTAAAGGGCTAATCCCATCGAAAAAGCCGTCTGCTTATAACGCCACTATGCCATATATGCAAAAGATTCTCTACAGGAGTCTGGGCTCATATAAATTTAAGGCCTTAGCCCAATAATGAGTTCTATGGCGTGCATTCAGTTGCAGAAATTTGAAGAAAAAACATGTCATGATGATGATCATGAACATCATCCGGTCATGCTGCATGGAGATGTCCTGGATTCTAAATGCCTATCCTACCATAAATATTATGCAAATGCGAAATTCATATACGAGTAGAATGAAAAAGTATGTAACAAGAAGAAAGACAAGTGCTACCGAGGGGTGAGAAGACGACCGTGGGGGAAATATGCGGCGGAGATAAGAGATTCCACGAGGAACGGGGTAAGGGTCTGGTTGGGGACGTTCGACAGCGCGGAGGATGCGGCGTTGGCTTATGATCAGGCTGCGTTCTCGACGAGGGGAGCAACGGCCGTGATGAATTTTCCGCTGGAGGAGGTGAGGGAGTCTCTCAGAGGGTTGGGGTACTGTAAAATGGAGGATGACGGGTCTCCGGTCATTGGGCTTAAGAAGAGGTACTCGATGAAGAGGAAGGCAGTGGGAGTTAGAAAAGGGAAGGGGATTGAGAAGAGAGAAGTGAAAGTTGAGTGTAGCGGAGTTGGAGGATTCGGGTGCTGAGTATCTGGAGGAGCTGTTGAGAGCTTCGGAGGTTACGGGACCCTGGTGACATTGTTGTCTGCTCTGTCTTTTCCCCCCTTCTGTTTTTCTTTTTTCATTTTTCTTTTCCTTTTTCTTTGTCTGTTTATCTTCTTCTTTTATCGTCTAGTTTTGTTTTGTGACCGCCTGAAATTTAGCTTGCAAATGCAAGTGGTTGGTTTAACTTTTTTTATTCTCTTGATGTAAAGCCACAAGGCTGTAAAGAAACACAGCAATCTTTATTAAGAGAAGGCCTAGACAATTGGTCAAGTTCCAATCAACAAATGATATGCATGTATGAATATAAGACTAGTCTTTCAAACTTTTAAGTAGAGAAGATATTAACGGCTTCTTCTTTTTTTCTCCCAGATCGATGAGAACTAAGATGTTCTTTTATATATATGGGAAAAGTGAATCTAAGGTGACACCCTAGGCTCCCACCTAAGGACGCGGCCTAAAATCACATCATTTCCTAATTTTTTTTACGATCCGCTCCGTTGAACTTGATCTACACGTTCTTAAACCCAAACACACCAATTTTGAGATGAACCCGTCGTGTTTTGACCCTTTATTCACTCGCTGCAACTTTAACGGTTTCGAATGAATAGAACTTTTTGTAAGGCTCAACGAATGGTCAAAACACAACGGGTTCACCCCAAAATTGGTGTGTTTGGGTTTAAGAACGTGTAGATCAAGTTCAACGAAGCGGATCGCAAAAAAAATTTAGGAAATGATGTGATTCTAGGCCGCGTCTTTAGGTGGGAGTAGGGGTGATTCACCCTTGATTCACTTTTCCCTATATATATTATATATATATATATATAATATATATATACTCTCTCTCTCTTAGTAATGATTTAAGTATACTCTCTCTTATATATGTTATAATATATGTATATATATACTGTATAATATATGGTATATATATGTATCATGATATATGTATAATTATGTATAATATATGTAATATGATATATGTATAATATATGTATATGATATATGTATAATATATGTTATATATATATGTATTATAATATATCGTATGATATATATGTATATATAATATATATATATATATTATATATATATATATATATATATATATATATATATATATATATATATATATATATAAGTATGTATCTATGATATATGTATAATATATGTATAATTATATGTATATGATATATGTATAATATATGTATAATATAATGTATACTATATGTATTATATATAATATATATGTATATATAGTATATGTATATATAATATGTATGATGATTATGTTAAGTTCCAAAAACCTTAAGAATAAATATATTTTAACAAATACATAGGAAAATGAAAACATATGAGTATGTGTATATATATATATTAATATATATATACATAATAATATATATATATATATATTATATATATATATATATATATATATATATATATATATATATATATATATTATATATATATATATATATATATCATATATATTGCGCGAAAAAGTTAATCTAAGTGACACCTAGGCCCACACTAGGATTGCGGCCTAGCGAATCATATTATTTCCTAAAAAAACTTTTACGATCCGCTCCGTTGAACTTGATCTACACGTTCTATAAACCCAAACACACCATATCTTGGGGTGAACCCCGTTGTGTTATTGACCATTCGTTGAGCCTCGTTAAAAACGTTCTATTCATTCGAAACCGTTTCAATTATAACGCAGTGGATAAGGGTCAAAAACGACGGTTCACCCAAAATTGGTCTGTGTTTGGAGTTCAAGAACGTCGAGTAGATCAAGTCCAACGGAGCGGCCGCACGAAAAAAACTTTAAAAAATGTGCTGCTTTTAGGCCCCGCATCTTAGTGGAGCCTAGAGGTGTCACCTTAGATTCACTTTTCCTCATATATATATTATATATATATATATATATATATATATATATATACTATATATATATATATCATATATATATATATTATATATATACTATATATTATATATATATATATATATATGGGAAATGTGAATCTAAGGTGACTCCCTAGGTGTAGCCTAAGGATGCGCAATCTCAGCCATTGATCTCAAAAACCCCAAAATAATCTAAGCCATTGATCCAATAACAAATCCTAAAAATAAAAAAAACAAATTCCCATATAAGAAAAACCCTATTCCCACGTTCTCCCCTTCAAAATCGTGTTCCAGGTTTGAAAAAAATCACGCATCCTGTCCGTCTCCTATTCGCGATCGTAGACTTCGCCGCCGTCCATCATCACCGCCGTCTCCTATTCGTCGCCGGCCCTCACCACCGCCGTCCCTCGCCGTCCATCATCACCGCCGTCTCCTATCCGCTTTTCAGACCTCACCATTGACCTCCTGTTCGGTTCCCTCTCCCAGACCTCGCCGTCGACCTCCGGAGAACGTCGACGCCGTCCCTCACCAGTGCCGTCCCTCGCCATCGATCTCCGAAGCTCACCTGAGCCCCTCCACATCCGCCCCCCAACACCTCCTCTTAATTCAGGTTTTGTTTTTTTTTATGTAATTTTTTTTTTATTAAGAAATTATAGGGAAAGGAAACCTTCTGCAGAAACTTCAATGCCTCGTCGATCTTGATTAGTTCTCTTCCTCTCACTGAGAGATATTGCATGATTTGTACTTAATATCACGTACCTAAGTTTGAAAATTTATCAAGTAACCTCCATGACTTTTAAAAAATAAGAAAACCCCTTCTTTTAAGAGTTACCGGAACACCCGTAAACTTCGTAACTGTAATTTTAAATGGATGGCTGTCTGTGGATGATCTTGGTGATTTATGCTCTTGAAAGAATCATCTAATAGGTTTTTATAGATAAAGATTATTCGAAGTGAAATAATTTCTTCACAGTTACGATGTTTAAGGGAAAATTAAACAACATTTTTTTACTCTGTGTTTATGCTCTTGATTATCTTGCTGATTTGCGTTTAGAATTAGATTTTCACCACCTTCTTATAATCTCACTTTCAAAATGATTGATGGGTTAATAATCTTATGTTTTTAACCCGTAGTTATATTCAAAATGATTGAGGGGTGGTAAACGATCGAATCGAATACTAAGTTGTTACACATTTGTATTTGTTTAAAATTATTGAAATCAAATGCGGACTCTAATATTCATATATGTAGTTTCGAATTCGAACTCGAATTATGTGTGTCTTTAGCAACGTTTAGGTTATGAATTAACTAGTTTGTTGGAGGTTTTAACTTGTAATTCTGGTTGATTTTGGAATATGAATTAAGTTTTTGTATTTGATCGTATCAATTTTAGAGTAGATGATTGGAATTGTAATGGGAACGTGTTGGCATTTGGTAGTTTACGAGCAACATTGCTTTTTGATCCAAGTTTAGGTTATGAATTAACTTGTTTGTTGGAGGTTTTAACTATCATATTTTAGTTTAAATTTTAGGATAGGTTTAATGTTAAATTGGATATGAGCTTTAAAAATTGTTTAAATTATCGTAATGAGATTGTTTAGTGAAATTGAAAGATGAACTTGAGGACGATTTTCTATAGATTTTGAACTTCTTATATGTGATAATTTGATAGCTTGTATGGACACGCCAACAATTCTCTCACGTGATACAACAATGGTTGAAGATGAGAACAAATATACAGCCCTTGACCTTGAAGGCGAGGACCATGGTTTACTATCTACGACAAGTTTTTTCTCTCAGGTGATAATATCTTATTGTTTATTGTGTACTACTATCTAATAAAATATACCAAAATAGTTGTCTTTTATAATGAGTTTTATAATTTTCGTTTCTCTATTTTTATAGGCATCCGAGCTTGAGCAGAATGTTGATGAGCCTATCAGTGTTGAAAATGGAGAAGGTAATTATGTTGTTGATCCATATATTGGAATGGAGTTCTCTACTCATGAGGAAGCTTATAATTTCTACAATGCATACGCCAGACTAAAGGGATTTGGTATTCGCAAGGGTCACACAACTTGGTCGAGAAAGAAAGATGCAATCATATCTAGAATATATGTATGTGACAAGGAAGGTTTTAAATTTTTAAAAGATAAAAGAGAAGATGGTCGGAATGTAATTCGAAAGTTCGATACAAGATGTGGATGCAACGCAAGGATGGTTATTGGACTCGATAGAAGCACTGAAAAATGGGTGGTCCGAAATTTAAACATTAATCATAATGGTCATCCATTAACCACCCCAAATCGGGTAAAGAAGCACTACTCACATCGGACACTTCATCGAGCTCAATCGACAAGAAGGTTGATAGATACTCTTGACATTTAAGGTTTACGGCCTTCTACTATTTGTAAGGTTGTTGACGTTGCTCATGGAAATGAGCAAGGCTCTCTCACTCAACAAGAATGCTAAGCACAACTTAGAATTAAACGAAAAAATAATGTCGGTCATGAGTGCGTGAGCATAGTTCGTCAATTTCAAGAGAAAAAGGTATCTGATCCTCAATTTTACTTCGCACTTGATTTAGAAAATGATGGGACGATGAGAAGTGTTTTTTGGATGGATGGTAGGTCGAGGAATTCTTACTTGCAATTTGGAGATGTTGTTTGCTTTGATGTTACATATAGAACGAACAATTTAAAATTGTCGTTTGCACCATTTACGGGCGTTAACCATCATCGACAATCTTCTCTATTTGGGTGTGCGTTACTGGCGGATGAAACAGAGGAGACGTTTATATGGTTATTTAGCCAATGGTTAAAATGTATGTCGGGTGTTAGCACCATTAACAATCATCACTGATCAAGATAAAGCTATGTGTGGTGCAATTCATAAAGTTTTTCCTCAAACTCGTCATCGCTTTTGTTCTTGGCACCTTCATAGGAATGCCTTACAAAATATTCAATCAATGCATAATGAATATGGTGAGGACGTGGGTATAAAGTATACCAAATGGTATTGGAGTAAATCAGAAGAAAAATTTGTAAAGCGTTGGGAAGAAATGCGGGATAAATATGGTGCAGATAAAAGGAATTGGTTAGTAAATTTATACAATCATCGAGACCATTGGGCTCCAGTGTATCTTAAAGACACATTTACTGCAGGAATGACATCTACTCAGCGGAGTGAGGGAATTAATGCCTTTTTTGATCATTTTGTGAATGCAAATACCGAGTTACATGATTTTGTTAAGCAATATGATAAAGCTGTTGAACTCGCCGAGCCGCTGAACTTGAGCAAGATTTTAAGTCCACAAACTCAGTTCCTACATTGATAATTGAACATCCCATTGAAAAACAAGCTAGGGAGAATTATACAAAGAATATGTTTAATATCTTTCAGAAAGAACTCAAGGATAGTTACTCCATGCTTCATGAGAGGTTGTCGAAGGATGGCGCAAGTGCTACTTATGCCGTTTGGAATATAGATCGCGAGGCTGAGAGGAAAAAGACGGTAAAGCATCATGTTGTTTTCGATGCATCCAAAGATAAAAGAATTAACTGCTCTTGTGCGAAATTTGAGATGGAAGGTATATTATGCAAACATAGTTTGCACATTTTAATAAAGAAGCAAGTATTAGAAATTCCATTAAGATATATTATGCAACGATGGACAATTAAAGCAAGACATGTTGGTTGCGGAGTTGTTAGAAATTGCATTACAAATAGTGAAGACCAACTATCTATCATTAAACATTGGGCCCTTAGGAGTAGATGTAACAAGGCACTAGAAGATACATTGACGTCAAGTACACTTTATGATAAGTTCAGTGCTTTTTTAGACTCATTTTTTGAAGAAGTTGAGAATTCCAAGATTGAGAAGGAACATAACGACAATGGAAATGAGAGCAATGCCAGCAATAAGATGCCTACTTCATCCATACCCATCTCTATAGAGGAAGCAACTCAAATCACTATTCGTGATCCAGATAAGCCTGTTGCCACGAAGGGACGACCAGCACATGCTACTAGAATTAAGTCGGGAGTGGAGATAGCACAAGAAAAGAGTATAAAAAAACAAAGATTTTGTGGGTTTTGTAAGGGAAAAGGACATTATATAACGAGTTGTCCTTTAGCTAAGGTATTATACTTAATCTTGATTTAATATTTTTTCAATGTCTTTGCATTTGTCATGATAAAGTTGCAATTTTTTTTGTAGAACAAAAATGTTGCTCGTGGAGGTCGAGAAAGTTAACGGCATCGCCAAAACAAAGTTTACGGAGGGCCAAAACAAAGCATGTGTTTCGGTTGAATGTTCACAATTTGATTTATTCACTTTTCCCTTAAGATTTATGTATGTATGGATGATAATGTGGTTGTATGGATTAATCATGTATGGATGATAATTTGAATTAATTTTTTCCCCCAGAACAATGAGGAACAAAACAGTATTAAGTGGGTACAAAACGAGCAATTAGTGGGTACTAAACTTGAATAAGTGGGTACAAAAATAAAATCATGGCATTATTAGGTACAAAGCTTGATTAAGTGGGTACAAAGCTTGATTAAGTGGGTACAATATTTGAATCCAGAGCAAAGAGGTATAAAAGGGTGCCTAAGTAGGTACAAAACGTGTATAAATGGGTACAAAACTTGAATAAGTGGGTACAAAATTTGCAGCAGAATAATGAGGTACAAAACATGGTTAAGTGGGTACAAAACTTGAATAAATGGGTACCAAACTTGATTAAGTGGGTACAAAACTTGATTAAGTGTGTACAAAAGTTTTTACAAGTAGGTACAAGGCTTGATTAATTGGGTACAAAACGTGTATAAATGGGTACAAAACTTGAATAAGTGTGTACAAAATTTGATTCCAGTATATTGAGGTACAAAACATGGTTAAGTGGGTACAAAACTTGAATAAATGGGTACCAAACTTGATTAAGTGGGTACCAAACTTGATTAAGTGGGTATAAAAGTTTTTACAAGTAGGTACAAGGCTTGATTAAGTGGGTACAATATTTAAGCAACGTAATAGAACTAACTCTGTATGTGATAGAACTAACAAGAGGACAGCTAGATATAACAAGGAGTGAGCTAGGGATATCATGACATAACAGAACAAACACTTGGGCTAGAAATAACGCCAAGCAACAAAATGTACCATAGCTGTGAAAGAAAGGGCCACAAAAATTGTGTCATCAGACACTTTTTACATTTTGTGCACTAATATATTTCTAAGCAAGGCAATATCATAACATAGCAAGTGTAAAGATTTCAAGGGAGCATCTTGATGGGATCGACGAGAAGAAGAATATGCTGATATTGTAGAACTTGTTATGCTTAGCGATTGCTTGGTGAGGACCTTGCTTTTCTTGGCAGCAAACAAAACTACCCAAAAGAATCACACCCACCCTGTAACAAAAGAGTCAATAAGGATTTATCATTCGAGAATTCAATCCAAAGATCTAAAGTATGTATGCAAGATGAAACATCGAAAGTAATGAAAAATCCTAAATTGATGATATGGCAACCCATGCTTTCAATTAATGATCTGATCAAAAGAGAATATATAATTTGCCTGCTACTGTCACCTTATTACTTTCAATGCAACTACATGCAATGCAGTTTATTTTAGTTTTCACTGCAACCATATGCAATGCATGCACTGTAGTCAGTGAATCTTTACTTCACCGAATATGCAGGCTATCTTTTACTCTCAGTTAACTTTCAACAATAACAATTCACATCTTGCAGCGAGTGGAAGATTTAAGCCAACTTGAAACAATGGACCAAACATCAAAGGCGTTCTCTGCATCCCAAAGAGAATCCCACGGTGAAAATTAAGGAATTAATGACATGCTCTTCCATCTATTTTAGCCTATGTAAAGAGTAATATTTGAGTAATTACCTTGTGAATTACAATCGTCAGAAATATGGTGAATTGCGTGCA